TTTTTTTTTTTTTTTTTTTTTTTTTTTTTTTTTTTTTTTTTTTTTTTTTCCCGGTCGGTCGCGTTGCGCCGCAGCGACAAGGATAAAAGAAAAGTTTTTTTTTCTTTTTTTTCTTTTTTTTCTTTTTTTATTTGTGCTCCTTTTTTTTATGACATGTTATCCTCGAGTGCTAACGTGACGAGGGTTCAGTGTCCGCCCTCCACTGTGCACCGCTGTTCCCCCCACCCCCACGCCTAGCAAGAACCCCCACAAGCATTTCGAGGACGGTGTTCCCCCCACGCATGGCATCTGCGACGTCGTCACCAATCTTCGCTGCGATCGCTGTGCCGGCCTCCGACGTCGCCTTCGCAGGGTGGTAGCAGCCTTATCCAGACCTTCGTTGTACGACCGTGTTGCGTCCTCCATCGCCCTCCCTAATACTGTCCCACCGCTGGTCGTGTCGTCCATCCTCGCTTTACTTGTATTCGTCCTCCGCGTCTTCGCTACATTGTCGGAATCTTCCGTTGCTCTACCGTCGGAACCACTTTTCCCCGACGAGGGTTGTGGTGGACCGGTCTCCGTTGATGGCCCTCCCGCGTTACCCGACAGGTTCTCCGACGCCAGCGTGTTGTCACACTTGATGGAGGGACGATTCAGTTGCCACTCAATCGCTTCCCATAACGCTTTCTCAAAGCCTACTGGCACCTGCTCCGCCTTCCGTTCCTCCATAGTCATGTCCCAGTATGAAGGTTTGCCCGAAGCATTCTCACACTTGTTGAGAATCAACTTCGCTGCAGCCATCATGCCCTGCCACTTTTTATGGCAATCCTCCGCTGACCTGTGCGGAAACCTATGATCCGCCATTCGATCGTGCACCCACTCATACCACTCCTTCCTCTTCTTGAACCGATGCTGGGCCCCAACGTCGGCCATGAGGGCGTCATCCTCGACCATCAATCTCAACAGTGTGATCCTCTCCTCCAACTCCACGGGATGTTCTGTTTTTTTTTTTTTTTTGGCATCACCATTTGCCCCCCCCGCTTTTTTCCACGCCTGCTGCTTTGGGGTCCGGCCACACTCTGCCCCCCATCTGTCTGCCCAACACTGTCCCTCTCGTCCTACACGTTGTCGAAGTTCTGTGCATCAGTGTCACCGCCATCACCTTCACCTCCGTCGTCGTCAACATACAGATCTTTGTCGCCAGCAGAGGAACGCTCTTGCAACCCGTCAGGCGACGAAGCAACAGTGTGCACGGACCTTTTCCCTCATCCATATCCTCTCCTTGCACATCTACCATCGAAGGCGAAGGCTCGACAGCAGACCGCCTGACTGACATGGGCGATGGGGTGGACATTCCGCCATGCAGCGCTTGCGACGTTTGTCTGCACTGCGGGGACCAATGCCAATCATCCCTCATTGCTCCGCCCCTTTCCACAGTGTGCTGGGTGGGGTACATGTGCGTGGCAATGCCATACCCACCGCCGACTGGGAACGTGTGTGGACCAGGCATGCCATACCCACCTCCAACCTGTGTGCAATATGAGGCTCGGCCCGTATGCGGAGTGTGTAGAGATGACCGAACAATGAACTGCCAACGTGTACTTGTGGCATGAAGCAGTGATGGAAACGGCAGTGGAGCAGGTGGGACATGAATCGGCCCGGCCCTCACACCTGCGTGCAACTGGCCACCGAAGGACTGCGCCGTCGCCGGTGAAGGGGAGGAGTACGGGACAGATCCTTGCATACGCATGTCCTGGGACTGGAATCCCCCATCAATGCCCGCACAAGGATCTGTCGTCGACCGACACGACTCCATTTCGTTGTGAAGCACCGACAACGAAGGCAACACCCAACACCACGTACTGCTTCCTCCAAGAACACCCCTTCGGTGCTATCTCCACCCACGACAGCAGAAGTATAGGATCACAGGCCAAAAGACAATCGACAAGAAGAAAACCGTCGAAAGGAGGATGACGACCACAACCACGCCTACAAAAACAGCCCAAGATGGGTTTTTTCGTCGCCCGCTTCCGCTGCAGTGGTTGTTAAGGACAACATCCACACAACAACTTTGATGGCACCGGTCACATCCACACAGGCGACGATAGCGTTCGACGACTTACACGTGGTCAGTGTGTGGATGAGGATTTATAACCACACCCTCATGTGCAACCCATCCCTGCCCACATGTGCTGCGGTTGCTCTCTGGCGATGATAAATGAGCGCCCTGCCGAGGTAGACGAAGAAGTGGGGATGGCAAGGGAGGCAAACGACGGAGCACGGAATGTGTTACGACCACAACATGGAAGAACAACATTGGTCTGTACGTGTGTGCGCCAACGCACACCGGCAGCGCATGTTCTCATTCGCGCATTCCACACACGCTGCTCGCTACACAATCCGCAGCTTCGAGAGATGGTTAACAAGTCCTTTAATATTCAGCGTGTATATAGATTGTGTTCAACATTCAAACACACTCGAACATAAACACTCGAACAGGGGAGGTGTACTTCAACATTTTCAAGACTCAGACAGGGGAGGTACAAGCCTAGTTCAACATTTTTACAAGCTTAGAGAGGGGGGCGCGGTTCAGAATCTTCAACCTTTTCACTAGTTCATATAATTTTCAAAATCTTCAGCGTTCCTACATACTCGGACGAAAGGGGGTGTACTTCAGAGTTTTCAGCATCTTCACCACTTCAGAATCTTCAGAATCTTTAACATTACTACACACTCATACAAGGAGACGAACGCTGAGGATTTTGAAAATTTTGAAGTGGTGAAAACGCTGAAGATTTTGAACCCCCTCCCGACCTCATGGGGGAAGGCACGGGCGGGGGGGTCAAAATTTTTAGCGTTTTCACCACTTCAGAATTATCAAAATCTTCAACGTTTTACACACTCGGATAGAGGGGGGTGTACTTCAAAATTTTCAGCATCTTCACCACTTCAGAATCTTCAGCGTTTCTCTACACTTAGATAGGGGGTAGGCGCTGAAGATTCCAAAAATTATTATGAAGTGGTGAAAACGTCGAAGATTTTGAATCCCCTCCCCTTAAAAAAAACAAACAGGCGGAGACACGAGGGGGGGGGGGGGGRGGTTCAGAATCTTAAACATTTTCACCACTTCAAAATTTTCAGAATCTTCAGCATTCTTACATACTCGGATAAGGGGGTGTACATAGAGTGCGTTCAACGTTCATCCACACTCGGATATAAACACTCGAACATGAGAGATGTACTTCAACATTTTGAAGACTCGGACAGGGGAGGTACAAACCTAGAGACGTGGGGTCGGTTCAGCATCTTCAATGGATTCACCACTACAGAATGCTAAAAAACTTCAATATTTTTATAAGGTTAGAGAAGGGGGGGGAGGTGTTCAAAATCTTCAACGTTTTTACCATTTCAGAATTTTCAGAATCTTCAGCATTCCTACATACTCGGACGAAAAGGGGTGTAGTGTAGAGTTTTCATCATCTTCACCACTTCAGAAACTTCAGAATTTTTAACATTTCTACATACTATACAAGGGGACGAATGCTGAAGATTCTGAAAATTTTGAAGTGGTGAAAACGTTGAACATTCTGAAGCCCCCCCACCTCATAGGAGGCAGCAAGGGGGGTTTCAGAATCTTCAACGTTTTCACCACTTTATAATTTTCAGCGTTCTACACACTCGGATAGAGGGGCAGGTGCTTCAAAATTTTCATCATCTTCACCACTTCAGAATCTTCAAAATCTTCGGTGTTTCTATACACTTAGATAAGGGGGAAAACGTTGAAGATTTAAAAAATTATGAAGTGGTGAAAACGTCGAAGATTTTGAACCCTCTTCCCTTAAAGAAACAAAACAAACGGAAGCGGGGGGGGAAGGAGGGTTCGAAATCTTCAAAATTTTCACCACTTCATAATTTTCATAATCTTCAGTGTTCGTACACATTCGGACAAGGGGGGTGTACTTCAGAATTTTCAGCATTTTCACCACTTCAGAATCTTTAAAATATTCAGCGTTTCCATACAACAAGGGAGCAAACGTTAAATATTTTGAAGATTTATTCACCGTAGGGGCGTTCAGCATTTTCAAGACTTATAAAATCGTTGAAACTCGACTTCAAATAACTTCAAAAATGTCGAAAGTTCTCAATTTCAGAATTAGTTTCAGTGAAGATTCAGAGTGTCATGCACCACGTGTGTTTATAAGAGATCAGTTTTCGACTCAACTCTAATTCATTTTCGTTATTCAACCTAAAGGCCTTAGCCCCTATGGATTGAAATGTTTCTTTTGGGTTTTTACCCGGACTTTATTGAATTGTCATTTAAAAAGGACCGAGTATTTTATTTTGGGAGGTTGCACAAAGGTTGGGGTTTGTGTGGATAAGGCAAAGGGGTGTGAGTGCAGAGAGTGGTTGAAGTTGACCCCGTGTAGTGTGTGCTCTGTCGATGTGGATCTTTGATGTGATTGCAGGTATGTTCCGTGAGTTGGATTCCATACTTGATTTTATCTATGATGATATATATATTTGAAGGAAGTCACACCGTTATATATATATTTGAAGAAAGTCACACCGTGATTGTGAGAGTGGTTGTCTCCTATCTCATACCTTTTATATCATGTTTCTTGTGTCGCACGACCATTGAGGCCGTGCGTAGTGATTAAATAAGTTCTGCACTAAGAGAAAAATGAGAACCCCTTTTATCGTTTTTTTCTTTTTATAGTTTTTCCAATTGGATGTTGGAGTTCGTGGCAACCGTCAAAGTCAAACCCCTTGATGTCTCTCCAGGCCCTGGATGATGGAGCTTGCCTCCTAGGCCACGCGAGATGACTGCCACCAAAGGCCGGAACCTGTGTACCACCCACTCTCCGCAGGGTGCAGAAGAGGGTGTGGTGATCAACCGCCTTGGCCGTTGTCTAGCGTCGAGAGATTAACCCCTCAAGGCGCGTATCAACCGAAACTTGAGTGTCGAAACGTGATCCCCGAGATTATCGAGGGTTGCAGGATTTTGGGTATCACATAGTACTTCATCGTTGCGACTGCGTACGTATGCTTGCATTGTTAGTTGATATGAGAAAGCCCTAGCGTCCGCGCGGTTTTATCTTAAGTCTCGCGCGCGACGCCTAACCGATTACCGTATTAAAAGGTTATGGGTCGAACACTGAAAAGACTATGAGAGTTTGTTTTGCGTTTGTGTGTATTTTTAATTTTTGTGTGGTGTAACGTGTGGTGAGTGGAAAGCGTCCTAGTCGACTAACAAGTCGTGCTTGGGACCTCAGCCCCCCAATGCGTCGATTCACGTGCGGTTCCGATTGAGGGGCGCTCACCATACGTACCCCCTATGCTATAACGAACGAGAAACGCTCTCGGTCGGGTCACCTTCTGCGATTGCATACAAAAAACTTTCGCACGTGGTTCGGTAGCTCGGCAGGGATACGCCCACCCAAGGGATGGTGACAACTCCTGAGGGTGGAGGTAAGACGTGTCTCGCGTGACCCTATCTTGTCGTAGGGACCAACGAGAGGTATGGATGACGCACTCGGCCGCAGCGGCAACCCTCGCTCTACGACAAAGTCCTGCAAAATCATGCGTGACGCGGTTGGGAGGGTTCCCCTGCGGGACCGATGCGTTTGACAACGGGCCGAACGCCCGAACGTTCAACACCCCCTCTCAACACATTCGGGCTTTCGGCTGAACGCAAAAAAAAAATTAAAAAAAATCAGAATTCTAAAAAATTTGAAAAATATATATGTTATGCAGAAGTATAAACTAAAAAACATTTGCCTTAATATTACATCCAAATTCTTTACCAAATTTAAAACAAAAATCAAATACTAAAAATAAATAAGAATAATAAAATTAAAAAAAAATAAAACAAGAATGAAATTACTGAGTGGGCGAGCACGTTTATGACACTGCCATCTTTGGCGATTTTTCATTTTTGTTTGGCTGTGAAAAATGCCATGAACATTTACATCTAAGCATCTTACATAATAGAGAATCTACAAATAAAGTTTGAAAAAATAATAATTTTTTTTATGCTCTAAAATAAAGGAAAAACAAAAAGTCAAAAGAAAAAAAAAAACAAATTAGTGAGTGGGCAAGCAAGTT